TATGGCTCTAGCTATTTTTCAGTTCTTTCATCTCATGTGTGATAAGTGTATATTGGGTCATTCCCAAATTCTGATCTTTTTGGACTCATAAACAGAATACACTATATATTCATCTGACGATATTCAATCTCTACGCACTCTACTTCTTAAAATTAACGTTCAACTAGATTTATTTAAGTCATTGATTAAATTTTAAGCGATACTCTGGATTGACTACGGATTCAAATTCGCTTCTCTCGCCGCTCAAATACTGCCTGATTTAGAACAGCTTCATAGGTAAATAATTAAAACAGTAACGATATCCTCACTTAAAGTTTTTTTTGTTGTTTGATCTGATTGATTGGATCTTCCTGAATTCATTGTATCTCCGATACTATAAGCTTTTTGCGTATCATCATTACGATTACTTGCATGACTACGCGATGAACGCGAAGTATCAGCGTTCATATTTGATAGTTGATCATCAGGATTAGCCGGTGTATTAAGAAATGATGTTTGTGTAGGATGATCAAAACGATCACAATGTGCCGAGTCAGACAGTTGACGACAATTGGAACCATATCTACATTGTTGTTTCGTATTTGAAGCTACATAAAACAGCAAAAATCAGCATGAGAAGAAGAGACGAAAATCCGATGCGGAAATCAATTGTATTCATAGATCAGCGGCTATGGCTGCAGCTATTTTCCAGTCCTTTTATCTCATGTATGATAAGGTTATGAAGGGTAACTCGCAGATACTGATCCTTTTTCGTTTATGCACAGATGACACTTTATTTTAATTTCACAGCATTGATTCATGAGTGGTGTGCTTTTCTCCCAATCTATTTATGGTCCATTCTTTCTTTGTATATCTATATTGATAGGATCGTTGTTCTGCACTTGTGTCCCACCATTATTTACTTATGGATGGCATAGAACAAATGAAACGACAAGAAATTGATGCCATGGATCAGAGTTCAAATAATACTAAAAGACGAAAGTTAAAATATGAAAGTAATACTTTTTTATTTTTATATTTAATAAATTCAATTATCTTTCTTGTTTTTTTTTTTGACAAGTAACAACAATAGAACGAAACAAGTGATTATATTTGATATGATGTAATATTTTTATTAATCTATTTTATTTAGATCTCTTCTTGAAGATTTAGCTCATGAAATATTTTATGATATATTTGAATATCTTGATATGTATCATATTTACAAAGGATTTTTCAATCTTAATAGACGATTTAAAAATTTACTTATTCATTCAAATTTTTTTTATAAAATGAATATATCAATTATGTCAAAAAATGATTTTGAAGGTTTTCATGTTAATATTATTATACCAAATAGACATCGAATTAATTCACTTCGTTTGTCAAATCCATTTGTTTCTCAAATTGTTTTCTCATCATCACGTATAATTTTACAATTTATTCATCTTGAACAATTAATTCTTGATAATATAGAAATGAAATATTTACGTAAAATTCTTCATTGTTTATCACATACATCATTACAAAAATTATATTCATTAAGCATTTCTATTGATGATTCTATTGAATCTTTAGATATACTTTTTACTGATTTATTCAATTTATCAACATTAAAATATTGTAAATTTAAATATGAAACAAAAACTTACGAACTTTCATCATTTCTTCATGTTACTAAATATAATTCAAGTTCAATTGAATATTTGATAATAAATGGTCGTTTTCCATTCAAATTATTGAATAATTTATTATGTTGTCTTCCAAAACTTCACTATTTATCTATTAATTCTCTTGTTGATTCTTCTGGTTATATAGAAAGAAATAAATTATCTCCTATTCCATTAAACGACGTAAAATGTGTCTCTTTTAAATTGAATAGTATTCATTTTTATGAAGTTGAACAAATTTTCAAAGACTTTTTTCATTCTATTCAAACTTTACGTCTTACAACATGTCAATATGATGACTATTTGAATGCTGAACAATGGGAAAAATTAATCATATCTTATATGCCGTGTTTACGTATTTTTGATATAAATCATACAAATCCAGTGACATATGATACTTCAAGATATCAGACTTTGATAAATGGATTTGATTCGTTGTTTTGGATCGAAAGAAAATGGTTTTTTACATATCAATATGATTGGTCAACATATTATAGAGATCTACTTTTTTATTCAACGAATCCTTATCGGTAAAAGAAAAGAAAATTAATCTATATTTCATAATAAGTCTTTTTTAATACTTGGTTCAATTTCATTTAATTCTCTATAAAACTGTTGACTTGATCTTTCAAGAAACTATTTCAAATGTGAATAAAGTTTAGATCTCTTTTAATGTTATAAATATGTTTAGTCAAAAGATAAGAGGAGAGAAGGATTAAAATTTGTTTACATCATATTTCATGAATAAACTTCTTAAAAAATAAATGTCCAGAAATAATGGTCTCGTTTGTATTTTGTGAACATTTCATTTTGTTTCGATCAAAACGAATTCCGGTTAGACTTATAAGATATTCCATTGAATTCTAGACAAGATCTATCTAAGATATTCCTCTATAGAGAGCAAAATAGAAATATGAAAACAAAAGTCATATTGTTTCGATTTTTTCATTGAAAGGTGATGATAAAAATAAAATACTAAAGAAGTATTGTAGTCTTCGCTTCTTGCAGAGTTCACCAATAATCTTTTCTTTCAGATTTTCGATAAATTATTTATTTCAGTCAAAGATTTTAAAGTTCTTAAGAAAAAAGACAGAATAGCAACCTTTTGGATTCGAGTTTGTTTATTTTTTACGAAAAATGACTACTGTACCAGATTTAGAGGTAAAAACCAAGCTGATATTCTCTTCTTTGATTCTTTTGGAGACAAACTTCAGATTTCTACCATTTGTGAGAAATTCAATTTTGAAAAGTTAAAAATGTTAATTTTGAATTTCACTGCAACAAACATTTAGCTAACTCGACGAAAAATAGTAAACCACTACAGATATTACTGGCAAAAATCTTCATAAAATTTTCTTTGTGTTTTCGAAATTTCATAAAAGATTCCAAGTGGTTTAGAAAGTTGATCTTTTTACTGCTTCAAATACTCTTGTTTTTTACATTTCTATGGGTCATTGTACAGAAAAATGTCCGATATATGTCTTTTAGAGAATTCAATCGGGTATTTGTTTTTTTTAATTCTAATCTCAATTCTATATAATATGCTATTAATTCCGAATCACTGTAGTTATGAAATTTTTCAATGAAGATGAGTAGTTAGTTTAAATCTAAATAGTGATTCCGATCGTCTTTGAAATTCTCTATCGAATATAGTATGTGTTAGACTTTGAAAAGAAAGTTTGTCAATAGAGTTTTCCCAAAAATCGTTCTAGCAAAATTTCAAGTCCTAGAAGATTTTAACAGAAAGATTTTTCAAGATAGCCACTTCAAAGAGCAAAACATTGTAAAATGTGCGGTCCAGCAGCTCTTCACAATGTTTCATTACAAAACTATAAGTTTAAGAAAAATCCAAAAAATTGCATTATTTATCAAAAAATAGCTAAAATCGACTAAAAACACATTTTTTTTTTCTCACAATATTCTGCTCTTTCAAGTGGTTATCTTGAAAAGGCTTTCTGTTAAAATCTTCTAGGACTTGAAATTTTGCTGAAACGATTTTTTGAGAAAATTCTATTGGCAAACTTTCGTTTCAAAGTCTAGCACGTACTGTATTCGATAGAAAATTTCAAGAACGATTAAATCACTATCTGAATTTAAACTAATTACTTATCTTCATTAAAAAATTTCAAAACTATAATGATTCTATAATTTTTCACAGTACTCTACAAATTAGACAATGATCTGGATAAAAACATCTTTCAATCTGTCTTACAATATAGATATCGAATTTCGAAGTTAGAATTTGATACAATTCACTAATCTTTTGTTTTTGTAAATGAACAATTATCAAAATAACGTTTAATCAGTAGTTTTACAATAGAAATCCAAAAACGAATTTAGTTGTATTTCATGTTTTCTTAATAACTGCTCGCCTACTAGAAATATTTCCGAGAAAGAGTCAACGATTTTTCTGGAGTATTCCATATTTTGTCAGATAAGATTATAAAAATCTATTTTTTAATTATTGAAAGATTCAAAAGTAAAAAGTGAATATTTATTCTAGAGTCTTTTATTCTTTGTTTTTAGACGAAAAGATTATAAATTTCTTTGGGAGAGAAATCCACAAGAGTGTTCACTTGTTCAAGAATCTAATTTAAATTTAATTCAACATATTTTAATGTATAGTTATGAAATAAAAAATGTTTCTCTAAATTATTTTCCAAATGTTACTCAAATAACAATAAAACATTATCCTCGAACACCAAACGGTTCGATTATAACAAGTCTTGATAATATGATTCGTTTGAAGCAACTGAAGAAGTTGACTATTCAATGTCATGATTTTCCATTTGAAGAACTTGTTAAATTATTAAGTTTTACACTGAATTTAAATACATTAAAATTGAAATTATTATCTATGAACGAAATTGATTTAAAATTAATTCAACAAACTGAAAATTTTCAATATGTATCAAAAATGAATCAAATAAAACATTTAGATCTTTTTCAATTGTGTGAATTCAATCAAATTGAATTGATTATTAGTTTATTTTCACAATTAGAATATTTCAAAACTGGAATAAATTATAAAGAAATTCGACAAATAAAACGATATTTATTATCAAAAATTAATAATAAAACAGAACATTTATTCTTCTTATGTGTTTCAGGCGTACCAAAAATATGTTTAAAGGAATTGAATGCCTTAATTAAATCAGAAAATTTACTTAATGATTATTGTATTAGATTTATTAATCGTGATTTATATTTATGGTGGTAAAATTTTCGTTTGAAACATGTTTGTTTGCTTTTTTTTGTATATAAGACAAATAAAAGATCGAATTTTCAATATGTATCTTTATATGAAGAATTAACAAGAAAATGTAACATCTATGAAACGTTTTTTTATAAAGTTGATCAACAGCTACGAAAGTTCGGATTGAGGGAAATGGTAGGCCAAAGTTCGAACAGAGGTGAAAAGAGCAAGAAAAAAAGCAACACTTTTAATTGAACTTCCTTTATGGATGACTTCTTTGGATTTGCTGCCTTATGGCCCAAAGTCCAAAGGACCTGGTAAGATGTGGCGTTACCAACAATAGTCTACAGTATTAATTGTTGGGCAGAACTAGACAAAAAATTTGGCAGCTAAAACCGAATCCAAATCCAAACACAAAGTATTCGATTTCAAATCCTACAATCATTTTTTGGTTCTATTTAATCCTAGTACAGTATGTTGTTTGTAACACCACATCTTATCAAATCCTTTGGAATACAAACTATCGGAGGCTAAATCCAAATCGGGTCCAAAATCTACTTCGAAACCCAAACTCAAATCCAAATCTAATGGCACCAAATCCCAAAGCTTTCGATTTATTGCATCCCTAAATAGTTTGTAAAATAAAAAACTCTTTATTTATTCAAACTCTAATTGTTTTCAACTTGATCAATTGATTTTTAGTCCGATTCTAATTTCGTCTGGGCAAAATTGGAATTCTAATTTTGTCTAAGAATAGTCTGGTCAATATTAGAATTCTAATTTTGTCTGGGCAAAATTAGCATTCCAATTTTGACGGGGTAAATTTAGAATTTGACCAGATTCCAATTTTGACCGTAACATATACATAGGAGAGACAGACAATAGACGGACTAGAGAAAAAGTGGAGAAGCTTCGTCCGTCTGTTTAGAAAATGAATAATAGACAGAAAAAGACAATGGTTCTTCTTACTCAACAAAGACGTCAGTTAGGACAAGTGAGTAAGACGAAAAAGAGCATACGTGCAACAAATGAATAGAAAAAGAAAAGAACAAGAACATACAATATGGCTCTTTTATGCGGACTCAAATCGCGAAAAAGCGCCAAAACAAAGCTCTTATAAGCGAACCGCTCCTTTATCCGAAGCTCTCATGAGCGGACTTTGCCAGCACGTAAAACACAGGAGAAAAAACGGGGAATTGGAAAACGGCTCTTAAAAGCGGACCGCCCCTTTATCCGGAGCTCTTATAAGTGAACTCGACTGTATATTTTGTTTATTAATATAATCCGATACAATAAGTAATGAGGATAAGATTATGATAATGAAGGTAATCATTTTATTACATTTATATTATTAGTGTTGAATCATTTCAAAAAATATTTCGATCTGTAAGATGATGTAAATATTCTGAATAACTGTCGATTTTTCTTTTGATGAAACAAATGTATTTTCACATACTATAGGTAAAACTTTTCTAATTATCTTCATACGTGCCAATTCATGAGCAGCATCACCTGAATACATCAACAATGAACTATGAGTATCTTCTGACATACAAATCTCTCAAGTTAACCTTTTTGTTCAATACCTTGCAAGAAAATTCAATGGTTCATTACTTTCAGTTTGTAAACGTTTTTTTTCTATTTCTTTTTATCAATATTAATATTCTTGTATACAACGAAATTGTTCTTTTTGTTATGAAGTATTGTGAAATAGCTTTTGTTTTACTGAGTAGTTTCTATATCTCATATCTAAAAGGTGATAACGAATTGTCCTAGTATTTAATGTTTTACTATTTGGCATTAATAGTTTAAATGATAGTTTTTAGTTAGATAGTCTTCGATCTGTTTTATACAAACTGAATCATTTTCGATCTCTACTTGGTATTTATGTTTCTTTTTTGCGCTAGTGACAAGGTAAATTCGATTATGAATATTTTTGTGTTATATTTAAAATTTATATTGTTAAAATTCTATATGTTTTGATAATATGACATTGGCTAAATCCTATTTTCAACAAAATTCTAATTTCAATTTTTTTCTTGAGAGATACTTTATCATAGTTGATGATTATCAAATATACAAGTACTGCTTATATAAATGTATCTGAGAAAAAACATATATATATATATAAAGCAGAAAAATACAATAATTTTATATCTAATCAATGATCAGTGTAACGTTCGATAAAAAAAACATTAAACAATATATTTAATTGTTGTAGAATTTTAATCAGCGAAATTTCGATGATTTTTTTACAGCAGATATTTGTTCTAATAACTCTGCGAAGTTTGGAAATTTTAGAAAAAAAATATTAGTTAAAAGTAATTGTATCATTTTAGTCAGAAATCTATATTTTAGATAGAAAACAAAAAAAGAAAGAAAATGGTTTGCGTACCGTGTATTTTTGTTGGTTTAGCTATTGTTATTTGGTGTAAATTTCTTGAACCTTATATAAAACCAATTTATGATCGACTTTGTCAATATTATCCACCATTAAAAATAGTTGGTGATCAAATAGGAGTTTGGACTGAGAAAATCGAAAAATTTGGAGAAAAAATTGGTATTCGTATGCCTCAATCATGTCCAATGCCAAAGAAAAACAATAATGCTTCAAAAGTAAAAATAACAAAATATTATTTTTTTAGATAAAAATAAAAAGAAAATTTTCGATTTTTTGTTTTTAGTCTCCAAGTGACAATAGTAATAAATTATATCCTGATTTAAAATCAACAACGACTGATGATATGGACGTTCATCATCGATCAGTACCATCGGCTCCTTCACAATTGCATAATCAATAAAAGATCATCATCGAACAAACACAACACATAATATTATTTTCGCCATCCTTTTTTTTGTTTTCTTTTTTTTTCTAGCAATTAAACCAAATCTGTTTGTCATCAATGTTATGTTGAGTCTTTTATCGTGCATTCGAATAAATATTGTCTTAACAAGATTTTATGAGAAAACTTAAATAAGTTTTTAAATTATAATTGAAAAAGAAAATTTCGAGTTATAGTTTCAATATTTTATAGACTCAAAAACAAAAAAAAATTCATTTCTGCATTTATCATAACAATATTTAATAAATTTATATAGATAATAAACAGTATCTCGTATGCATTCAAATATACTCAAGCTATAAAAATCATAATAGGTTAATATATATTTGCTGCAATGTTATCCATCGGTATATCACATTGTATTGTACAGTGTATGTACAGGTAGATCGATGCAATTGATCACTTTTTCACGTTAACATGTACATCACAACACAATCACATCTACATTCCTACCCTTTTTGGTAACGAGTTTTACATAAAAAACGAATATTGATATTCTAGTTTGAAACTCTACTAAATTTTTCCAACTAAATGAATAACGATAATAACTTATTTTCAGTTTTCTAGTCGTATACTATGGGAAATAGTGTGTCAAGCGACAGAAGTGCGGATGTTTTGGGTGAGGAGAGGGTCTACGACAGTACTCCACGCTCACATCTGTATTTAAAATACAGGAAAATACGTAATTCTCAGTGTCTGACGAGAATAAAACATTCTATATCGTATGTATATTTCAAGTCTAAAACAATCAGACACTCAAGTATTTCAGAATTATCAGGCACACCGTAAGAGCAATAAAGGTCCATATGAAAAGTCGAAAAGAAAAACCTAGCAACGAATAGATTGACAATGATTGAACAAAACCAAAATCTATCTTAAAAAGTAA